AATCCCTTTTAAGTCTGAATTGTTGTTTTGCTGTCAGCTAGAACTCCTCTGGCACACTGTGTTTTCATTATTTGTGTTTTACTCTGATATTTAGGAAAAAGAATATGTGTAAGATGGATGCAGTTGGTCAATGGCTGCTTGTGGGATGTTACTCCTACCATTGGAGGGTGGTATGTAATAGTAAACAGAACCAGCTGCTATTTTGCTGCATAATTTAATATAGCATATACAATCCGCATGTTAAGAAGCACATAGTGCATTTTGGTTTTGCAACAGAAACAGATCTCTGTCTACAGCATTTTTTTTTCTCTTGTACTTTTCAAAAGAGTGTGTAGACCAAATTGTGTAACTGAGAACCGAATGTGTTTTTTGGGTATTTACAGGCAAAATGAAGACCTGACCATAAAACACCTAATCCGGTTGAAAGGGTGTGTGTATTCACTTGGTGAATAAAGCTTACACGAGTGTGTCTCCTGGCTTCCAAAGTCATTTCATCATCTGGTACATGAGATAAAATACAGATGTTTCGCGCAAGAAACACAGAGCTCGATCTCCTTTTTTTTTTTTTTTTTTTGGCTTTCTTGGCTTGTCCTGTCTTTTTAAAAGCCTGGATACCAGACAAGATTTGTTTCATTATTTCAGACCTTGATATGACTTATTAATGATTCCCAATATGAACTGGATTGTTTGCCCAGCAGAGTATTTGCCCAAATAATATCCTTTAAGAAAATTAAGAAATTTTTATATAGGATGTTCTGATTGTTGGAGTATGTGTTCATGAAAATTCCTAAGACTGGTCAGTCATTTATTCTTATGCAAAAAATGGAAGTAAAACTTAAAAATCACAGAATCACACATGGGTTGAAGTTGGAAGGGACCTCTAGACATCATCTAGTCCAACCCCAAGAAAGTGTATTCCATGCTCAAAGAGGTTTTAGTCCTTGCCTAGATGAATCAGTCTCCCAGACTGTAAAGAAATTCAGACTCTATGTTGGTTTTTCGCTGTCCTATAATTTGTTAGCTTGAGAAACAAGCTAACCTAAGGGAATCTTGAGAAACAACTGCCTCCAGAAGCGTGCCCAGAAAAGCTGAGGAGAAATGGGTTCAGTATCTTTTAATACAGTTCGAGGTCTACTCTTTGTTAGCCAAGTTTCAAAAGAGAGAGGGTAGATGTAAGTCCAGTGTAGTAAAAGCTTAAGCAAACCGTGGATTTTGGCTCTCTTCCTAGATGTGTCGTCTTCCTGTCCCATCGGAGGCTGGGGATGAGCTGGGGATGAGCTGAGGATGAGCTTGCTGCAATCTCATCTTCGTTTCCATGACAAGGGCGAGGTTGTTTATTTTATCCTCAGCCCCCCAAACCCTACCCCCAAGGTGGGAGGACTGCTAATTATTTGGCCTGTAGCCTTTAATTAAAAGCTCATCTATTCCACTTAAGATGGGAGGCAGTTCTGCCATGTTAGGAAACCAATGTAAATGCATTGAGGACCTGCTGAGTACCCAGTGCAAGGAGTGTATGTTGATAAACAGGCACATAGGATGAGAGCCAAAGATCTATTCACAGCCACAGTCTAGCCTAGTCTGGTGAGCAAACCTGGATATGTTTTAATATCCCTTGAAGGATGAACAACAAGATTCATAAAACATGACCATGCTGCATGAAGCAGGCTTCCATTTGAAAAAAAAAAAAAAAAAGACGACAGACAACAGATGAAATGGATATTTTAGTAAGAAGAAACCATGTTGGCGACAATTAAAATAGCTATGAAGGTGAAGCGTAAAAGAGCAGTAAACTGAGAAAAAATATCAGAGGAAGCAGTGATAAACTTCAAAAAAGCCATGATTTTGCACCCATACATGACAGAGGGAGTATATTTTTGCCCCCATAACCCCTTTCTAAATATTCAAGGGAAAAAAAATACCTTATAGAACTGTTTCAAATGCTTTGAAGAGGGATCATTGCTCCAGGCCCATGGAGATTTTTTCTATATAGCTATGCCAGCCAAAATCCCCACTGAGATAGGTTTCCAGGAACATGGGAAGATTTCGTATCATCCACTCTTGCACTTGTAGTATGTAACATTTTTGAACTTTTTGAACAAAGCACTGAATGACAGAGGTTGTCTGTCCTAAATTTTAGTGGCTTTCAGAAAGCTTTTATTAATAATAAAGGTTATTGTGACAGATCCTGAAACTCTGTTTCCTAACATACAAACACACACACATATATATTTTAATCATCCAGGTATTTTAAACCATTTTCAGATACTCTTTAAATAGAATCCAACCTATTAGTGTGATGTACTAGAGTTAACTACAGTTAAAGAAATGTGTTTCTCTCTCTCTCAAAACCTCCATTTATGCAAGGTATCTTCAGTACAGAACCAGAATTAAAAACAAAACAAAATGAAAACAGGATGGTGCAACTGGGAATCTGAACTCAGCTGATTCATAATCTGCTTCCTGAACACATCAACAAATGAAGTGAAAGAGTGATATTTTAGCCAAAAATACCAGCCAGTTAGATTTTGTAATTAATTTGCAAATGAAAATGAATGTTATGGGAGCCAAATGTTCTGAAGCAACTGAAGAAGAACTGGCATAAACATCTGATGAATGCAGTTATTCAAGGAGCACCTTTGGTAAAACTGGTGACGTTTTCATTAACAAATGGACTGCATGGGCGCTACTATTTGGAAGTCTACTGTAGTGAGAAAAGGCCCAGGATATCACAAGGACCAACATCACTTTCTCAGTGGTTACCTGCCATACCTGCTGTCACATAGTGGGAGCCAGAGCAAGTCAACCCAAGAGAAGCAGAGCAGCTGAGCATCAGGGGAGCACTACCAGCCACATAAGGGTTGTGTGACTCTGTGGCAGCTCCTACTGCTCAAGCCAGTACAGCTCAAAGATAGATGTATTTTACTGTTTGAAATGCGCTCAAATGAGCTGTATTTTATCTACCTGAAGAAAAGGAAAGTAGAAGTCAGAGAGAGAAAGAGAGTCCACAGCAGAGTAATGCAGAAGTGTACAGGCCTGCATCAGCTGCCCATTCAGAAGAAAATTGCTAACGATTAATTACCTTACTTGGTGGTGTCAAAAACAGATTGCATTGAGAGACTGGAGAGACCACAATATAGACGTGTTCTTTCTTGGGCACCAGATTAGAGTGTCTCAAATGGAAAAAAAGATTTAAACATCTGGATGAGACATGATTAAATGTTCGGTTGAGGCTCCTTCTCTGTGAGTATATTTCACTTTTCTAGGTCTCTTTGACCTTTTTTTGAAGTAAAGTAATACTTGTCTTTTTTGATTTAATGTATCTTGATAGATGGGTAACAATTAAAAATGATCAACACTTCTTCTGAAAATATCGATATTAATTTAAAATTTAATGAGAGATCATACAGATCCAGGGTTATCCACTGTTACTGTGTTTGAGCCAAATAAATATATGCAAATCATAGGAAAAATGTGCATTTAATAATAATAAAAAAATGGAAGGGGCTGTAAATGATATAGTTTATCACTCCACTAAACAAATGTTCCTGATCGCTTCTTTTAGTGTACTCTTAAAGACCTCTAGAGATGGATATTCCCAAACCCTCAGATAGTTGGTGAGATTGCTTTCTTCTTCCACTAGAAAGTCCTCTTTTTTTCCAATGCCAAATCTAAACCTCCTTTTCTGGATTTTAAGCCTACTATTTCTTGTCATGTTTACTACACATACAGAGACCTGATCTGTTCCTTTCTTCTTTGTGATCACGTTCCTTTTAGCTGTCTCATTTAGTCAAAGACTGCCTCCAATTCTCTCAGTCTTGTCTTGTAAATATTTTTTCCCCAGACTTCTGGTAATCCTCACCATTTACTCTTTCCAGTTGGGGCACTTCCTTCTCTAAACACTGTGCCCAAAACTGGATGTGTTATTCCAACTAATGCATTACAAATGCTGAAAAGAATGAGAGGGTTATATGACAGTGGCTTTCCCGTTTGCTTGTAGTGATCAGCCAAGATACATCTGAAGTACTAGATGACTTTTTACCCCTTGGAGGTTATGGGTGTGCATACCATTTTATATGTCATTTACTAGCCTAATTATTGAGATGCTGCACAGACTGGACAGGATTTCTTCACAGCAATAAGCTTCATTTAGAAAGAATATTCATAGCAAATGACTTTTGATTTATGGGCTGGGCAATAAATACACCATTAGCACTGCCTGGTGTGGTAACACAACCCATTCAGTTGTATTTTACATAGCTGTCATAAAAGAAACAACTGGTATTCTACCATGCGCCATTCATTTAATACTCTTTTTTAAACTGTATATGACAGTACTGTGATGCATTATGAGATCCTTCATGAAGGAAAATAAAGTAATACAAATCATTCTTTCCAGAGCTTAAATTTTGAGAGCATTTTAATTCCAAATTCTCTTCTTTATCTTCTTTTGGAATAGAAAATAATTGTTTTCCCCATAATATAGATAAGGGAAGCAAGAAAGAACTGACAGTTTTGCCAAAGTCATTAGTTGTGGAAATGTCAAAAACAGGACAAAAGTTCAAGAATTTAGTTCTATATCCTGTACTTGGTTCCTTAGACAATGGGTGCATATCTGTGTGGAGAGAGAAGGGAAAAGAAGAGAGGTTGTTTTTAAATATTGTCCACACACACATTTTATTCTTTTTAGTTTCCTCCACCTTATTTAGTTTTCTCCGACTTTATCTATCTGTGGGGAATCAACAGCCAAAATTTTGTTATAAAACAGCCTATAGAGAAAATTTAAGCTGAATTAAAATGTTACATTCTTTATAATAGAGACCTGACTTTCACTTTGTGATCAAACTAATGTTTGCAATGCCAGTAATTTTTAAAACTTATTTTAATCTAATTAGATGAATGGATATTTTCACCAAAGCTGCATGATCTTGGTATCCTCTTTCTAAAGTTTTTAATTGTCTTCAATGAAATAAAAGAAGAGCAAGGTTTCTGTAGCAACTTACCACTCCAGAACTTCCCGTTGGGCAGAGCATTTCTTGGATTCAGGCACTGACCACGGGATAATTGCAGGTTGTCTCTGCATGTGGTGCAGTCCTCATAGCTGTAGCCAGCACACGTTGCACAGCTTTTGTGGCACGCTTCACATTCCCTGGAGATGTCATCCTTGAAGAAACCAGCTCCACACTCGCTCACGCATACACCACCTGCAACAGAGCCGGAGCCTGAAATCAAGGGATCAACTGTCCCGTGTCCTTCAGGAAGAAGTGGATAAAATACTATTAAACCTTATCATATCATATAGGAAGAAAAGAGCAGTACTAGCTCTAGGATTGCTAATTACTACTAATGGCTGTCTAACTAAAAAACGAGTTTAGTCTGTCATGCAAATTTATTGGAAACTTTGAGATGTATCTTCACTTTTCTTCTGTAGTCCCAGCCACGTTTCATGTAAAAGCAGGTAGGATATTAAAAATAAGGCAACTAGGAGTTCTGAGGATGAAAATCAGTACATCCTGTGAACTTTGTCTGATTTTATCTCTCGAAAATATCATTATGTATTTGGCATAGCTGCTATTACTTTAAACTGAGAACTGGTAGAGCATCTCTTTGTCTCTAACAAGAAATAGCTTAAGAAAAACAAACAATACATTAGAACTTATGAAACTTTTAGTAGATATCAACACTCTAGATTTTTATTGTGAATCCTGAATTAGATAAAGCTCATAAACCCTTCAAACCAATCTGCAATTATATTTTTATTTAGCTGGGTCTTCATTCATATGCTAAATCCTGGCATCTACAAGCCTTACAAAAGTCTAAGCTTGAGTCATAATTTCATGGGTAAGTCCCTATTTTATATTGGCTCAATATAAAATCTAAGACCAAAAATTTTCGTAAATTATAGACATACGGCCCAGTTTGAGAACTGGGTGAATGGCTAGTTTCTGGTGAATGTAAAGCAAACCTGATTTAAGGTTTTCCATACTGCCATACCTACCCTGTAATAACTTACACTGATAGTTTTTCTTTTTTTCTTTATCCAATTTGAATTAAAAAAGAAATACATAAACAAAAAGGGCCCTACCAGATCATCTCAGGCTGTCCCTACAGAGCTTTCCATGAGCATGAGGCTTTCTACTCTGCTATTGGCGCATGCAGTAGGTAGTACACAGGATCATCAAAACCTCGGGATTTCCTATGATTCAGTTTGGCAGCATGTCTGAACCAGTTCTGTCTGATTTATCACTTAAAATAAAACTAAGAGATTCCTAGCCTTGTGTGAACTTGATGTAAAATTTAGTGATTTTATGAGAGCTTTACTCAGTATGTTTAAGTTTTATTACATAGTGTGGACCTGGAAGTTAAAAGAAAGCTAGACTTGCTAGACTTGAAAAGTTTTCAGGTCTTTCAGGGAGCTAAAGAAATCTTCTTTTCTATAGTCTGAATCAAACAGAAACCTTTTTTTTTTTTCCTGTGTGTGCTCTAGGAGCATGTGCAGAAGATACATTAAAACAGGAAATACATTAAAAGAGGAAAAATACACTAAAAATAGATTAAAACAGGAAATACAGTTGGAATTTGCAGTCTTATATCTCAAGTTTTGAATCAAATGGTGCTGTAAGCTAATGAACAGACCTGGATCGGCAAAGGGCTAAACGCCCTCAGCATCCCCTGACTGCAATTGGAGGGATTTACAAATTTCAGAATTTGAGTCAAACTCTTTGTCTAAGAAACAAAGTTCTAAATCTTTTTGTGTATATACTGTACCTGGTTCTTTGCTTACCTAGGAGATAAAAGCCTTCCTTACACGAGTGACACTCATCCTTGCCACAGGTATTGCAGTTGTCTGGGCACTCTATACATTTCATGGAAATTTCGTCTCTGTAGGTGTTTTCTGGACAGTAATAATAGCAATGGCTCTTATACCTAAAAGATGAAGTAAAACACCATTAGTAAGTTTGTTTTGAGGTGAGCTTGGTTTTTTGTGTGTGTGTGTTTGTATGTTTTTTCTAGGCATGGTAATGATAATACACTATTCTTGCCCTAATTAAGAGAAATTATTCCTCTAATGAAGGATTGAAAGTGAGTTCAGGGATAGCTAAGCATTAACAATGTATGCTTGCGAATATCTAGGCTTGTAAGAATAACTAGTGTGCTTTTCTTTTTTAAAGTTCAGGCACAAAACACATGACTCATTAGAATTCATTACACTGTTGTTGTAAAGAGCTGATCAGTTGTACGTATATAAGAAAATGACATTCTTTATAGCTAGACAGAACAGCATTTTTATCAAAATTTTATTTTATCTTGGTAATTGTTATATGTATTTCTTAATTGCACCTTTGGAAAACTTCTCAATGCTTCCTTCCCCTCTATTTAAGTTAAACCTTCCATTAATCTATTATTTTTTGTTCTTTGATTAACCTCCTTAAATATTCAGGAATGCTGGTATCAGAACTGTACACAATATACTAAAAGTCCAGTAGTTCCAAAACTAGAAGCAACATACCTACATAGATCATACCTACAAAGATCCCATTGGCCTTAAAAAGCTTTAAAAACTTTAAAAGAACTTGATGGTGTATGACAGACTAGTTACTTAGCAATTCCCAAGTCTTTTTCCAAAGCCACTGTTTTCAGGTCAGCAATAGCTAAAATGAATGGGACAGCACAATATTGATTTATATAGCAAAGCATCACTTGTTCTTTGGATTGTACTAACATGGAGAGCTATACTTACATATAGTAGTTCTGAATGCAGGTCATGCAGATTCTCGGGTCATCTAGAATTTAAAATGTGAAATCATGTAAATGATATTCAGAGTTAAAATCAAAGCACTAAAATGCAGCACTGTAACATTTTTCTGTGTTAAACTCTCTTACATGAGGATCATTAGAGCCATAAGTACAACATTATCTATGAAGCTATTTTATATTTTTTTGGAGATGTACTCTTACACAAATTGGTCCAGGTCTGTATTTTGCAAGTAACTTTTTAATTTTTTATTTCCAGCTTACTGCACCTAGAAAGTGTTGAGCTGTTGGAAGTGCACAACTTCTGAAAAAAAGATTCTTCCTTGGAGTTCATATCTGGCAAAGTGGCTCTTAAAATGAGGTTCTAAAGTATCCAAATCTGTGGCTTCAGCCTATTTTGTTGCTCATGACAGAGACAAATTATAGGCATTTGGTACCTCTAATAGCCAAGTTTTCAGAGATGCGGTTGATCCTGTAATCTTGAAAATCCTGACCTACATGACCACACTCCTATATTATGATGAGCAAATACTTCGGGGTAAATTTTTTCATCAGAAATTTTGTTGAGTGAAAGTGTCTTAAGAATCCAAATTCTTAGGATTGTTACAATAATAGAGTTGGTTTTATGTTCTTTTAAAAGGAGGATTATTTTCTATAACCCTCCATTATCTTATGTTAACTTTCCATTTCCTTTACCTTGCTTAAATATCCCAAAGGGAGTGTAATGGAAGGAAACAGAGCAACCTGGGAAAATATATTTGTAAAATGTATTACCATGAAATGCCTATAAATTTTTTTTGATATTAAGAGCACTCATAAGACAAAATTTTCAATGAGTCTATTTGAACTACGTCTACAATAAATTGCACTTTACAAGTGCAGACTTACTAGACAACATGCACTTAGTTTTGCAAGTAGTTTTAACAATTTTTTTATGAGGTGTAAAGTTTTTTCCGGAAATATTGCAGATCTGTGAAAATATTCTCTTTACTGTTTAGAGCATAAGCAGAAACAGCAATTACTTAATCTGGTGTACTTTGAGTTAGATTTTCTTATTGAGGCAAGAAATACTCCAAGTATGTAAATAGTTTCCATGAGAAGCCTTCCTTTATTTCTAGATAAAAGGCATTTGCTTTGCCTAAGGCTTCTTTTTGAATGAGGATATTTTTTAAAGACACCACCTCAGGCAAGTATTTCCTATTTTTTTCTTTCCAGGGTTTATATTGCATTACCAGGGGGCAGGTTGGCATTAGTCTGTGAAGAATTAGTGCATTGGCACCCCAACTACCTTTGGAAAATTATTCTAGCATTGGCATTATTGGCAGTCCTTATGTTTTGTTGATGGAGAGAACACAGTATGTATAAGAGAGACACTGTTAGAAAATTTCTGGGATCGTTAGCAGGTTTACTGCCTAACTCTCCGTGTACTTTCCGGCTTTTGTGAAGAACGGGCTCTTTTCTCTCTTGCTTGTGTGAGGTTTAGATGACATTTTTTTTTCTTTTCAGGTTTTGCCTGTATAGGAGAGTCTCTGGATAGCTCTATTTTAGACAGATCTCTACTCTATATCATTACAAAAAAACCCACAACATGTGATTGTCCTCAGAAGAAATTGGAATGAATTAGTAAGTAAGTAAGTAAGTGATTTGTTTAGACAGAATTTTAAAATAAAGGTTATTTAAATATCACTATATTTTTCTCATGTGAATTGGTTTAGAGTCTAAGAGAAAGCATCTAGAAATGAAAGAATAGCTGGTTTAGATTGCAAGTTTGGATACATGATGTAGAGATGGTAAAAAACACATATCCCAAGCATGCTGCTGATTATCCACGCAAATGTGGATAGAAATGCTCATTAAAAACCTCATAAGAAAAGCCAGTTTAGTCTTTTTTCACCCAGGATTCTTTTGATAATTTTGTAAAATGAAAACACCAGGAAGTTATGGAAGTAAAGCAAAATTGGTGTAAGTTCAATTTAATTTAAATTTCAGGCAAAAATGGATTTTGGGGGGATTTCTTGGGGGGGATCTTAGAACTATTCACATGATGAGATATCAGTCATTGAGCCATGAGGCCAGTCTAACTGTGACAGGTATCAGGAATTTGTTTGCTTATTGCTCCTGACACAGCTATACGAATATATATGCCTTTTCCTTTTATTTGATTCCAATATGTAGCTGGAGTCAAAATTGGCAGAAAACTTTTGCAATTTACTTTTTTTTTATCGAAAATTCAAACATTCAAAATAGAGAAGGATTGCAGGGGGTACACATCTTGCAGTTTGAACAGAAATAGTGATGCTTCTGAAAATACCTAACCCTTTAAAGAGATTTTCTCTGTCATTGGAAGTACATTTGGGTTACAGTGTAACTTCTTGTTATGTTCCTTCTCTATGTTAAACTTTCCTGGAAACTAATCAAGTATTTAACTTGAAGGTTTGGGGGTTAGGTGACTTAAGTACATTTGCCTATTTCTCTCTCCTGTCTTCTTGTCTATATCTGTGTGGGCTGCATGAGTAAGCAGTGAGGTTGTGACCAGTCCAGCTGGAGACCTGTAGCTCATGGTGTCCTCCAAGGGTTACTACCAAGTCCAGTCTTGCTCAGCTTGCTCACCAATGACGTGGATGAAGAGAAAGAGTGGCCCCTCAGCAAGTTTGCTGATGATACAAAACAGAGAAGAGCAGCTGCTGCACCAGAAGACTTGGCTGCCATTCAGAGGGGCCTGGACAGAGTGGGGAGATGGGCAGAGAGGAACCTCATGAAATTCAGCAAAGGCAAGTGCAGGGTCCTGCATGTGGGGAGGAACAATCCCAGGCATCAGGACAGGCTGGGACTGATCTGTTGGAGAGCAGCTCTGCATAGAAGGACCTGAGCATGCTGGTGGACAAAAAGGTGATCATGAGCCAGCAATGTGCTCCTGTGGGCAAGAAGATGATCCCTAGAGACCCTTCTGGCCTCAATCCTCTGTGATTCTGTGATAAGACGTACATTGTTTAGCAACAGCCCTAAGCTGTTGCTTTTTCTCTTAAGAACAGGCCCACTAAATGGAAGTTCTACTTCTTATATTTAGGGATTTATTTAAATTTAAACTATTAAGGCATGATGAACTTAGTTGAGAAAGGAATGGAAAGAGGGCAACCATCTGATAGCACGCAGAGATAAAACTAAACGTGCAGTTACTCCTATAGTGACAAATTAGTTATTTAATACATGGGATGTTTCCAAAATCTTGGAAAGCATTTTAAGAATGAACTAACGCTGGGGGATTTAATGGATCCCTACACAGAGCTTTGCAACTTTGGCTCCTTTAAAATATGCAATAATTGGTTCTTGGACTAACAGTAACAAATGCCTACTGGGCTGAAGTTAGTGTGTTCATCCTATATTCGCTTAGACCTCACTCACTTGCCCATGAAATAATTAGATATCTGTGGCATGAACTTAGTGCTTCATGTATCATGCTCTAAACGGCTTCTTGTTACAAGAACTGCTAATATTATATCTATATATTGGCTATATTTTGTTTCTATTTGGCTTAATTTCCACTGTATTGATCCTGTGCTACTTCTCTGAAGAGTAAACAAAATACTTTTGATAGCAATGAAAGTAGGATTCAACCTATTTTAAAATATAAGGCCTCAGACACAGATGAAATCCTCTGTGAATTTCTGGTTTTATTGCAGCTTTCTTAGATAAGTAAAGATCATCTAAAGTTCATTTGGTTTCTTTCCTTTTCTGTAATAAATTCACAGCCCCATTCCCTGCTCCCTCCCATCCTTCCCAAGAACAATGTATGTGGAGTGGAGCTATATTTTAATATAGAAAGGGTACATGGAAAGATTAGCTATTGGTCAAAAGCCAGAGGTTTTTGCTTTCAGTTGGAGCTCTCTGATTTGATTAAAAGTTTTTTTTCCTATTCCAGAAGAGAAATATGGGCATCAGTGTTATACGCTCAATATTGTTGGGCTGGAAGAGTATTTTTGTTTAAATATCTAAAGGAAAACTGCAAGCAATTTTTGTAGTATTACTTTATAGGCCTAATGAAATATTTGCTACGTAAGTTCATCCATATTAAAAATGTTCTTTAGAATGTTATGGAGATTCCTGTCACTGTTTCACTATATCTGTGTTTTTGCAGTATTTAGACATATCTTAATTCTGGAAACTCTACATTACAAGCCCACTGTACTACTGAGTAGCACTTACTTAAAGAATACCACCAATTAGACCCAGATCTTTCAATGACTCATATGCATGCTTAACTTTATCTACCCTACACCGTATAGGGTATATACTATATAGTATACCCTATACAGTAAAGATGGGAATACTATATGCAGTAAAGATGGGAGTTGAAGTTACATGTGTGGTATATTTTGAAGGATCTGTACTTAGACTGTAACTTATTTTAGCTTCTTGTTTTGTTTACTAGCTTTTGTTTTTAATTATATTTCTTGAAGTATTTATGACATTCTGGCTCAGCTGTGAGTCCAGAATGTGCTGAATGTGCTCAACACTTTTTGTATCAGAAGCTGAAGATACTCAGTGCCTGCAATTGAATGCTTGGTTTACCTCTCTTTTGGAATTTAATTAAATATAATGACTGAAAATTGTTTTATATTACACTGCAGTTTTCCTTTAAAGTTCAAACTGATTAATTTCAACAGCTAGATTTTATTTTTCCTTTTATATTGCCCTGAACCATAACATACAATAAAGTAAAAGAAATACTATAAATTGTAATATATTATCAGCAAATATAATTATACACTTTAACTGGGTTAGACCATTTTGACTTTAGTTTTATGGCTTCTCAATTAAAATAACTGAAATGTACACTCTAATCATAATGGGATTTTTGAGTAGACATGGGTCCTAATGAAAACTCAGCTTACAGTAGGCCTTAACATGAAGGAAACTTCTGTTCTGGATCCCACAACAGTGGTTTGGAGAAAAGCCATTTGTTTTTCTATCTTTCCTTTTTGTTGCCTTTTCACCTCTTCTTGCACTTGTTTTTTGTCAATAAATCTGC